AGCTCCACAAGGGAGAAAAAGAAAATAACAATAATTTCCTCCGACTCAAGGGAGGCATTCAAGTTATAATCACGGTGTCGTGGGGGACCTTGCAAACCCTCACGTTCCGATGATTGCGCGCAAGTGGTACGCGAGCACTCGGGCCCATCAGTAAGGAAGATAAGATAAGATAAGATAATAAAATTATGATAAGACATCATAATTAAGCATAATCAGCTCATGCATATTTATTCATGTGTACTTACAGTTATTTTGTGAGATATAGTTCCTACTTGCTGAGCGAAAGCTCAATCAGATATGTTCATGTTGTAGGTAAGAAACCTATCAGCAATTCTTGAAGGGCAATGGCGAGCGGTGGACGAATGGTGGAGATGGGAATGGATACCGCTCACGCAGTTATTTTCCGCCGTAAGTTTAAGAAAAATCATGTATATGTCTATATGATTCAAAAGTTTCAAGTATGTATGTTTAAAAAGTATACGTACATATGTATGTTAAGAAAACCAAGGTTGTAACTAACAACCCTAGTTTTGAGTATTTAAGTTTTAGAATGTTACAGTGCATGCAACAAATAAATGAATTTTAAACATGACGATTTAAATGAGTAATTTTAGAAGGACTTTAAGATGTACTTGAATTTAAGATTTCTCACGAAATCCGTTTTAAAGTCAAATGAGATGGCCGATTGAAATGACTAGTTTTAGAAAAGCTTTTAATGAGTATTTAAAACAAGAGTTCAAATGCTATTCCATTTGAAGGATATTCCTAAAAGGTTTTATCTTAACTAAAATTAAGAAAAGCTTTAAGAAATTTAGTGATTCACTTATTTGAAATTATTGTTACAAATTATGAAAGTATTCCTTCTTAAATAAAAAAAAAAAAAAAATGTTCCGCATATTTTAAGAAACCCCAGTAAGTACAAGTTAAAAAGTTAGTAACAGTGGCGGCCTCAAAGGAGGGTCGTCACATAAAGTTGCTCGTTCATAAATATTATTCCTTTCATACACCACAAAGCTATTAAACAAGGACAAAAATGGACCACATATGGAATGTCACACCCTAAAAGAACTAATTCACAGAACCATAGGAGAAAGTATCTCAAAAACAAAAAAAAAATATATATATATATATCACGACATGAGAGATAAACCTTTCCTGCTCATCATTAGAGAAGACACAAGCAATTTCTGTTTGAATTATTTTCCCCCTGTAGAGTTGCTCATTTAAATACTATTCCTTCACAAACACCACAAACATATTAAACAAGATAGAAATAATGTACCTTGGCAAGTCACAATTACTGGGTATAAACGATCAGGACGACCATATTTTATACAATCAAATTCCTTGCGATAAAAGGACAATCCAAAGGATCATAAAGAGGAAATGAATCATCAAAAACCCAACTTCCTTTGTACATATTACATGACCTCTTCTTCTGCTTTTTACCTTTCATAGACATTCTTATTCCTTTACTATTAAGATCTTGTTCACTATAGCTTGCTAAAGAAAGATGTGAAAAGGCCAAAAGTATGACAACCAAGAGGAGAGAACTTGATGATTTTCTACTTCTCAAGTGGTCCATCTTTGTTAGTTCTTTAGGGTTTTTGGCTCCAACAAAAAATTGATGGAATGACAAAGAATGACCCTTTTTTGAAATTGTTGGTTTAGTTCTATCAATATTCATGTATCTATAATAATAATAATAATAATAAAAGTGAACGAGACAGGAATGAGATCAGACGATGCATTATGTTTACGAATTTTCACATGCATGATGCTAACACGTGGATAACACCTAATGATGGGGAATATTGAAGAAGAGTATATGTAAGAGAGCTTTGAGTTAGGCTAAAGTCTTGTGTATGAATTGCTTCTTCTTCTAAACAAAAACAGATGAGAAGCAACCTTTTCTGAGTATTGTATTGAGAAGCAACAATTTGTAGCAAGCAAAAAAAAAAAAAAAAAAAAAAAAAAAAAAAAAAAAGAAAAAAAAAAAAAAAAAAAAAAAAAAAAAAAAAAGACAAAAGGGAAAGGAAGCAATTTCAAAGGAACATAAAATCCCTCAAATGGCAAATGATGATTTTGGCGTCCATTTGATCTGATGGGAAAGGAAGGGTATATATTTATGACCTCATTTGATGATAAAATCATCTTGTCTTTAATATTTACTTAAAGGGACAGTAATGCATACAATAGCAATGGGACAATAGAATTAGACACCACCTGTTTTTTGGAAAGTTTAGGCGGATGGCGGTTTTGTCTACCCTTTTGATTAATGACAAAGCTTTTCTTTTAGATAAATCTCCCACTTTTGTTTTTTTTAAGCAAACCACTTTTTTATAGCGGTCAATCACTTATATATTATAATTTATTAATAGTTATCGACAATAAACCGTTAATTTATTAATTATTGATAATAAACCGTTAATTTATTAATTGGAACTGGTTTATCATTGATTGATATTAGTAAATTAAGAATGTATTATAAATTAATCAATCACAGATAGCAATCTCTAAATATAATTATTTTCCTAATCTAACAAAACTTGAATCATTTACTAAAAAGGCTTAAAAAGATCATTTTTGCACATAAAAAGGGATCAAAAGCGAATTGAATGGGACAAAAAGGTTTTATTTGCAAATGGAACAAAGTTTGGGGTTATTGAGCGGTGCATGATGAAATTTAGAGGGTAAAGAGAGATTAACGACATAATTTGGGAGCACTTTATAAATAGTAGCGGGAAAAAAATAGCAAAAAAAAAAAAAAAAAAAAAAAAACTGTTTAAAAAAAAAAAAAAAAAAAAAAAAAAAAAAAACTTTTTAAAAAAAAAAAAAAAAAAAACAAAAACAAAACGCTTCGTTTTGCGCAACAAGAAAGAAGTACGATGTACGAGGATTTTCTGCTTCAGAAATTCCGTACCTCTTCCGGGGTCTCTTCACTGACTGCTCTCATCAGTTTCTCCCTTCATTTGTTCTTAACTTGAAAAAAACAAAAACAAAAACAAAAACAAAATAAAACTTACTATTACTACATTTTAGCCGTCAATAACTTATTCTTCATTTCTGCGTAATAATTGTTGTTCGCTCCTATGTCTTCTTCACCCCCCACATGGTTCTTAAAAGGCACACGAATAAAGCTTTGAGCTTTAAAGTTTCATTCAATCTGAATAAATCTATACTGGTATAGAGATTTCAGAAGAAGAACTTGGATTCGATCAATACCCACTTCTTCATTTTCGATCATTTTTCACTTAAAGTTGGAAAAATATTTTGCTCTAAATATACCACTGTAATGGGCAGTCTCCGTGATTCAAATCATTGTCAAAGTGTGTACTTCTAAAACCTGGATTTGGTGTTCTAATGAAGCTTCGTCAAGGCTTATTACCCACTTTTCCACATCTGTTTTCTTTACCAAGAAGCTAGCTAGGAGTGTTCACCACTTGTTCGACGATTTGCCAAGCCGAAGTAGATTGTGTAGAAGAGGAAGAAAAGGACCACCCCAAGGACTCCAAAGAAGTTTTTGAGCAATTGGGGTTGTAGAAAAGAGGATGTATCGAGCTTATTTATACTCCAGCCGTCGTTGAGTGGATTTGGAGTTACTGCTACCGATCTTGCAATGATCATACACCGTTGCCCTCGGTTCCTTGGTCGTTGAATCAATTGTTGCTTCGAGATGAACGGTTGGTGACGTGTTACATGACATTGTTTTGAGTCGAAGGAAGTTCTTGTCAAAGTTACACTTATTTGCTGAAATATGACTTTCAGAACAGGATGAAGTTCATCATAGCAAATTTTGTAAAGGTTTTTGCGTGGTTCAGACACAAATGATTGCCCATTTATTGGAGACTAATTGTATAACAATAGATTAATCAAACTAGAAACCTAGTGGCTAGTACCTCGTAGTATTAACTAATACCAAAAACTTCCTAATTTCTTTCCTGTATCAAGTAAAAGAGAGCTGCATACAGAAGCTCATTCCAAGTGTCTTGGACACCAGCAATACACCAATGTGTGCAGTCCATGCCCCTGAAGGCATTATAACTGCTGGGATGCCCGTCTTTTCTTAGCTGCGACAAAGTGGTTATGTCCAGCAGATGAACTGGTTTCGCTATCTGGTTCAAGACATCTTTCACCACGTACGTCGCCCGTGGTAAGCCGCCGAGGTAGCTTGAACCACTAATGGGCTGCGTCTCGTTTCCACAGTTTGTCACATTTGGTTCGTTCCACTCCGTGCCACTAATTTTAAGAAAGATTTCACGTCATGTCATGAACAGAAAAGTAGAGGCGGATAAGAGACAGAAAAAAAAAAAGAAAATGAAAGTGGCTTACTTGTAATGAGAGGGAGAAATTCCTTGGAAAATGACTCTAGTCTTTCTTGAATCCACAGTTGAGTTAACCCAATTTGCCCATGTCGTTAAACCCTTTCGAAAAGCCTCCATTCGGTCCATGTCTTTGAGTATGCTGTCACCATCTTGAACATAATCCCATCTGCAATTAGGAGAATTCCATTAGGATGCTTCAAGTAATAATCAAATTTTCATCTTGTAATACTTCTAGAGGAACGACTTATATTTTGTGTTCATAGAGCTCATACGGTTGCTTAGGTCCGCTTCTATACCACCAAAGCCAAGTGTTGAAGATCAGAACGTCCATTTCCTTCCACAAATCGCCGTTTTTCAACGAATCAAGTTTCAAAACGCGGCCAATATCTTCCTCTTCGATGTCAATCAAATAGTGAGAATTGAATAGCGAAACATAAACTTCATAATCCTGTGAATCACAAGCAAACTGGTACTCATAAAACATTTGTTTCCATGGAAGTGTATTTTCAGTTTTCTGCTATAGTAACAATGACTAAGAGCCCGTTCGGTTCGCTAATTCGAGTTTTTAATTCGAGTTCAGATGTGATGTTATGTGAGAATTTTTTACTGCAGTAAAAAAGTTAGATGTGACTGTTTCTGAGAGCTTTTTACTGTAGCAAAACTCGAATTCTAAACTCGAATCAGCGAAATGAACGAGGCCTAAATTTCAACTTCCTAGTCTGCACTTCATAATTTAAGTTCTTTGTTACGAATTTTCTTGCCAATTTCTCCTCCTTAAAACGTCATTAAAAAAAAATAATTACCTGGAATATCGCGGAAGAAACTGAGCCATCATTCTGTTGTGTGATATTGGAATGAGGCACAGAAGCATGAAGCAAGCACAGAAGCGATTGCCATTGGTTGAGACTAACAGAATCCCCTACGAACATGATCTTCTTCCCCTCTAATCTCTTCAAGAAATCTATACCATCAAACCTGCAATTGCGTTCCCATATCTTATAAGAACTACATTTCACGGATATTTAAAAAAAAAAAAAAAAAAAAAAAAAAGAGTCAACATGAGATAGAAATCCCTATTGTTCAACATTAGAAAAGAGACAACAAAAGACAATTTTGATTTTAAAATTTTTCCCTCCACAGAAGTTTCTCCTTTTAGTATTCCCTTTTCTGTTTCAACTACTTTTCTCCTACAAAAGTTTCTCCTTTTCTGTTCATTTTCCATACATATATAACACAGATATTAAACAAGATAGAAACAACGTACCTTGGCAAGTCACAATCATTGGGTTGCCATCTGTACTTGAGATATAAACGATCAGGACGACCATATTTTATGCAATTAAACTCCTTGCGAATGAAAGGACAATCCAAAGATTCGTAAAGAGGATATGAATCATCAAAAACCCAACTTCCGTTGTACATATTACACCTCTTAATCTCCTGCTTCGATCTCCATTTCGTACTTCTCCTCAAAATTCCTCTTCTACCAAGATCATGATGATCACGAGAGGTAGCTAAAGAAAGATGGGAAAAGAGCAATAGTAAGGCAACAAAGATCAAGAGAGAACTTGAAAACTTTCTAGTTGTCAAGTACTCCATCTTGATGAGTTCTTGGCTGCAAAAATGATGGAATGACAAAGAATCACCCTCTTAATACTATATATATATATATATATATATATTACAACCGTAACCCGATCAATATGACAAGCTTTAAACAACAATATTCACATGTGGATAAATAGTACCATTAAAACCACAATCATATATATACGTCAACATGTCCGTATCATATATATATATATATATATATATTATATTACATTTTCTAGTACGCTAATTTTAACCGTTAAATCTACATTAAATTAAATAAAAGTCAAAAAATATGAATATTCAATAGTTAAAAAAAATTGACATACTGCTACACCAGACGTATTAGAGAATCTCCATGTATTATATTATATATACAGATATTAGAGTTTGGCATACTCCTAAATATTATTGAAGGGGCGCTTAAATGCTCACGAGAATGTTAGCTGATAGGCCACCCACACTTAGATGAGGAGCGCGTAACATACCCTTTTAAGATTGTTGGTTTGGTTTCATGTGGTCACATTATTAATAAAAAAAAAAAGAAAAGGGAAAAGGAGACGAGATAGGAATGAGATCCGACGATGCAACATGTTTAACAATTTTCACATGCAATACGTGGACACCTCATAATTTGGAGGAGGCTCAAACACAAATTTCTTTATTTCCATTATAATATTCTTGCACAGAGACAAATATACAATTTAAATAATTAAGAGAGAATATATGGAATGTGGGAAGGAAATTGCTAGTGATATACATGGAATGTGCGTGTGCATGGAAAAAGCAGCGCTTTTTAAGGCAATGAGAATCGTAGGGGAATGACTGGTGTTGGTTAGTGATCCAAAAAATTATCGTTTTATAATTAGGAGTGTAATAATATATTTGATTACATGTCTGCATTTGACTCTTTGTCCGAGATCTAATTATGATCGTTTGCCTTGATTGGATCATAAATATGTGTAAGCGGCAATGTTCTTTAGCGCTGATTTGAAATAGGTTTGGTTGGATCTTAGAAGTAAAATTCTTCGTCAAAAAAACAAAAAAAAAAAAAAAGGAAAAAATATTGTATGTATATAAGGAAAAAAAAAGTCAGACTTAGGGTTGAAATTGATTTTTTTTCCCTCCAATAATATATTAATACGCATTATCTCGTTTCCCGTGAGGCTGGTATTTATTATTATTATTATTATTAATTATTATTATTATTATTATTATTATTTTATAACCATGAGGCCTAGAGTTGAAACTGACAATATATTTTTTTTTTATCACTTTGATGTAATGATCCTATCTCATTTCAATTGTTTGTGTATTATTATTTTGGATCTACATCAAAATAATGTTATAACCACCACTTATTACCTATTTTTTATTAACAATGTTTTTTCCTCCAATTCTTTCTCCACCTAGCCAAATAAATAAAAAATTGGTCTTCAGCAACAAAATAAAGGTCAAATATCGTTTTTTTTTCAAAAAAAAGTCAAAAAGTATGTCGGTGGCAATTTCAAGAATTGTTCAGTGTATTCAT